CCCGAATGGCCCATGGGGCCCAGCACTTCCTCGCCTCTGTAGCACCTTCCTCTGGGAGGGGCCGCTTCCATTCTTATGAACCGAGCTGTGGGTGGAAGGCTGATGGAGGGAAGGCAGGCTCCCTTACCCTCTCGCCATGTGGCTGGGATACGCTGCGGGGGCGTTCCACCGCCCCCCACCCCCAGAGCCTATACACTGAGGTGCATAACATTGCACCTCATTGTTAAACTTCTGGAGAGCTGATTTGTAGGTAAATAGGAGGGGCCTCACGGCCCAATTCTTGCTCTGATGTGGACTGCTTGTAACAACCTCACCTTTTATCTCATCTCCCCTCTGCTCTGTCAGCCATGCAGCAGATCTGACCACGTCAGCCCTGTGGTCACCCCTCAGGACCAAGTGTACACTGCACTCATTAACAGGTTTAGCAAGGTCCCACAGATCTGGTCCTTGCCTAATGCAGGATAATGGGATTTTGAATTCTCTGGGAACAATAGAACTGAGGCTAGTTAAGGCCTTAAATGCCAAACAAGTGTCCTAAAAGCTAGAGCTAATTACTTGAGGTTTTAAAGCAGTGGCTGGATGGGGCATTGCGTCAGCATTTCTGGAGTCAGAAAAGGACTGAGGAGAGCATTTGAAAGTAGGGGCTGAGATGAGTTCATCAGCAGCTTCCTGGGGGCTTGAGCCCTCCGCTAGGCTCTGTTGGGTGGTTGAGGGGCTTTTGGGGATCACTCAGGGCTCGGATGGAGAAAAGCGGGGAAGGTGTGTTGGAGTTTGCTGATGGGTTCCTGACACAGGAGCAGTTTCAGGGGTGGGGGCACCCTTGCTGCAGGAGGGGGCAGGAGAGGCTCCGAACAGTTGGTACAGCTGAGACCTGCTGCTGGAGGCCCAGGTCCTGGGACTGCTGGAACTTGGCCAGCTCCCCAGCCTCCCAGCCCCAGCCTCATGGACACACAACATCCTAGAGAAGGCCCTTGGTACTGGGGGAGGGGGGGTGGGCAGCAAGCTGAGGAGGTATGTTTTCCCCTTCTGGGTAAGAGAATTGCTTATAGTTGAAAGGCAGGAAGTACCTGCACCCCTGCCCCGCCCTCCCAAAGGGCTGCAGGTCTAGGTCACATGTGCTCACACGTGTACAGAGCCTGACTTTGATATCCCTGCACACAAAGGCCTGGACCCCTCGCACGAGTGCCTACAAACCAGCCTCCCTGAGCACAAGCCTCACTCCTCTCCCAGCATCTATACCCCAGGGATTTCCCTCCCACCCAACTGAAGACAGTGGTATAGTCTGGCATGTCACCTGCCACCTGCTCCTGCCTTCCCCATTTGCTGGAGGAAAGCTGTTGCCCTGTGGCTTTGAGTTGCTAGAGAGGGGTGCAGGGAACTACAGTACCCCTGGATAAGGGGGGGCAGGCTTACCCTCAGGCTTGCTCTGAAGGGGCAGGGGGAAGGCTGTACCCCCACCCCCAAGCCTAGGACAGGACAGGTGCAAGCTGCAGGGGAAAGGAGACAGAGTCTCTTCCGGCAGCAGGAAGTGGTAACCACCTATGGGGAAACAAGGCTTGTTCCTCCCCATGGGGTGGAGCAAAAGGGGAACCTTAGCTGAGCACTGCTGTCCCCCTCAGAGGTGGGCTGGAGGGAACAACGGCTGAGGTTCTATCCTCTGGTGCTGACCTTCCTTCCCAGCCCACCCTGGGAACGTTGCACCCGGTTCTCCAGGCTCCTTGCACTTATCCCTTAGGGCTGTGACTTGGGAAGGGTGGGCTCCATCTTAAAACCCTAAGGTTCTGGGGGAAGCTGTTGACTCAAGGAAGTCCAGGGCCTGGAGCAGCTCCTAGCATTGAGGGCCAGTGACCATGCTGTGAAGAGTGCTGTATGGCAGTGGTGGCCAGGCAGCCTTTTAGAAGTGGCAGGTCAGCAGCCAGAGGGTGCCAGCTTGCTGGGCACTTTGGGGCTCTCACACTGGCCCTGGCTGCTTGGCAGGAGAGCTCTGGGCACAAGGCGGCCCAGGTGTGGCCTAGCGCCCAGCGGGAGGGGTGGCAAGGCCCCAGCCC